GAGATCTCTCAACGAGCTTTGCTTAAAACCTTGCTTAAAAAACCAGTGCGATTTCCCACCAGAGAGGTATTCAACTTATCTCGTGTGCTATCTGTTCGCCAGTTGTATATATTAAAAGTAGTAAAGAGATGTCATAAAAACGTTTTAAAACTGCCTAACTACCAATAGCTTTTAAATAAAAGGGTATACAAAATCCCCGTCCCTAACATTAAAACGTTTTGTGCTTGTCACCTGCCACGTTTCCTTTATCCACGTATTTATAATAAAATATCACGATATCATAACATCAGAAACCTCACAGGTCTGTCAAGTTATTAGAAAATGGCTAATGACGTTAACATATGAGGAAACTGAGGATATAGTCAAATGTCACTAGCAGAATACACACATACATGCGCGCACGCACGCACGTACCCACACACACACACACACACACACACACACACACACACACACACACACACACACACACACACACACACACACTTTCAAGTGAAATTACACTGAACTGTGATAATTTCAGTATAAAAAAATATGTCTTTCCTTTTGTTAGACTGTGTACGATTCTCTTCAAATTATATCTCACCTTACATTGTTAGATTTAGCCTACTTTCTTGCTTACTTTTTTCTATATGTCAATAAATTTATTATTATTATTATTATTACTTTGTTGGATAATTAAATGGCCTAATGAAATTTAATAACTATATCTGTATTTATATGAATACTTGTTAAGAAGTCCTTTTTTAATGTTTTGTTTTATTAGTTATTAGTACATACATACATATATATATATATATATATATATATATATATATATATATATATATATATATATATATATATATATATATAGACACATTTATATTACTATAAAAGTAAGGCTTATTAATCATAATTTATTAGATCGAAACTGATATTATGCTAATTTATTAACATTTTAGCATTTTAATTTACCTACTAATATTATAACCACCCAATCAAATTAAGCACAATTTCACGAAGAAGTAAACCACCTTGATTATGTGTTTAGAAAATAAATTTTTGGTAATCTTTTTTTCTTTTGGTAGTTTGTTGTAGATTAAGGCACCTTCATTTAAAATACATTTTTTACCGTAGTTAGTACGTGCTGTGCGTAGTTTTAATTCTCTGTAAAGTCTTGGTCTTAGTTTTGTTATAGGTTTATTTTTTGTAAAACTTAATTCTGTGTGAATGCTTTTATTAGTATTTTACGTACTAAAATGCAAGAGTAATATTTATATGTTAGTGATATATTCATGATTTTAGTCTCCTTATAAACTTGGGCTGTTGGAGTAAGAAAGTCGTAATTAAATAGTGCCTTAATCAGTGCCCCAGACTTCTATAAGGTATTCAATATGTGGTTTGACTAATGAATTATAAATAGTGTATCGCACACTACGTGGGAAACATTTTACTATATTTCGCAGTGCGCCAGTGAGAGAAACCAATTTAGATTTAATATTATTTATGTGAGACTTAAATGTCATATGATTATCCAACCAGAGAATAAGGTATTTTTCATTATCTACTTTAGAAATTGGTTCACTATTTATTGTGAGAGGCTTATAGTAACCAATTTTTTTTTGATGTAAAAATTACGTAGTGTGTTTTAGTAATATTTATAGTTAGACGGTTAGATTGAAACCACATATTCAATTTGTTGAGATCTGATTGGGCATCGGTAATCAATTCTTCAATTGAATATCCATAGTAAAACAGACTTGTGTCGTCTGCATATAAGGTAATTTATACCTATAGGTTATTAATTACCTTTTAATCCTATATCCTTAATACTGTTGATGTAAATCAGAAAAAGCAGCGGTCCTAATATGGAACCTTGCGGTACTCCAAAAGTTATTAATTTTAGTTCACTTTGATTAGAGCCAACCTTTACTACTTGATATCTATTGTACAAATATGAAGCAAAAATATTCAAAGCAGATCCGGAAATACCCATATGTTTCAATTTACACAGTAACAGTTCATGACTAACTGTATCAAATGCTTTTTATGGTCTATAAAAATATCGAGTGCTATTTGTTTTTTGTCTATGCCAACTTTGATTTTTGTGACTAAACCTATTGTAGCTGAAAGAGTGTTCGATTTCGGTTCAAAGCCACATTGTTTATCGTATAATATTTTTTTAGAATTTAATAGTTTGCAAGACGATTATATAACACACGCTCTCGAAAATTTTGGATAGTACTGGTAATATTGAGATTGGTCTGTAATTTCCGGGATCTGATCTAGTTCCTGTTTTATATATCGGAGTTACTTTTGCTACTTTTAAACTGTCTGGAAATACGCCTTGTTCAAAGCAGTTATTGATGCAGTTTACAAGCTCATCAGCAATTATGTTTTTGATTCATTTTATAGATTTCGTACTTACCCCGTCTAATCCAGTGCTAGTGTTATGATTTAAATCATCTATAATTTTGTCGATTTCGTGTAGAGTTACGGGTGGCCAATAGGATATAACATTACTTCCAGTTTCGATAATTATTGCGTCTAATACTGTTTGATTAACTTTAGGTATTTGATTTGCCAGGATTGAACCAATATTCGAGAAAAAATAATTAAAACATTCACAGATAGCTTTACCCTCACTAACGACAGATCCCACTTGCGTGATCAGTTTATTTGGAGCAGAAGTTTCTTTGATCTTGTTATTTGATAGATCGTTGATCAGTTTCCACATTTTTGCTGGTTTGTGTTTACAGTCTTTAAACGCCTTATAGTGGTATTCACTTTTAGTTTTTGTATTATATTGCTTACTTCATTTCTTTTCTTCACGAATTTATCTCTTATACTTTCATTATCTGGCTTAGTTTTATATTTGTGCCATAATTTGTTTCTTGCGTTTATTTCGTTTAAGATATCTTTATTAATCCAATCTCTTCTTGGTAGGTTGAGGAATTTGATCTTAGTTTGCTTTTATTTATACTAGATAAGATTTTTTTCTTTCAGTTTTACATATTCACAATTATTACTGTTTCCAGTTATTGTATTATACAATTTGGTGTAGTTTATTGATTTATATTCATATTTTGATACCGCATCTTGCTTATACTTCTTGATTTCAAAATAGATCTGTTTATGGTCAGACATAGCTATAGCAAGGTGAAATTGTTGTTCTTTTAGACTCGTGCTGACATGGTCTATAATATTATTCGAAGAAGTTACACGGGTAGAGTATTCGGGGTCAATTTTATTTAATAATTTGTAGCCACACTGTTCCATCATTTCCATATACATTGAAGTTGTACGTTCTTGGGATGATAGGTCTACATTGTAGTCACTAAATACCACTGCCCTTCTGCGTGATTCTAAATTTGTTGAATATGTTTCTATGAATTTATTAATATTGCTGTTCGGGTTTTCTATAGATGACACCCACATCCAGCGAATACTTGTCAACATAACAACATAACAAACATAAAAGTTTGACGAGAATAGCTATGTAAGCCTATTCTTTGTATATTTTTTGTGATTAATAAAAAAAATGTATCCATAGATAATGATTGTTTTTTGGTCAACTCTGTAATTTCCTTTTCAGCTTGATACGACTGTTCTTCTAAATGTGTTCTTTTTAGTTGTAGAGAAATTATAATGTCTACATTAGTGCCGTTTCGATCAGTTTTTTTTTCAACGGTCGACTGGGAATTGGGCGTCTCGAATGGCGAAATTGAGTAGAGTGTAGTGAAGCTCTTCTTCCTTTTTTGGTGCTACGACTTAAATTTTTTTGTGGTAGCGATTGACACAAAGATTTGAGTGTATCATTTTCTTTAGTCAGTTTGTTTATCGTCCTGTTGAGGGCGTTATTTTCCAACATCATATCATCTAGTTCATTTTGCGTACTTGCTAGCTCCAATGATAATTTATTTATTGTTTCTTTCATTTCTTGTATATTTAATGTATCTGTTAAGGTGGAATCATCGCTTCTTGATAGTTGGTCCGGCGATATTATAATCGATTCCCGTGATGTGTCCAATGTGGTAAGGATGTGAGAATCGTTTATTTGAGATGTTGAATTCGTAGGAGTAAACTCGACGTTTAGGGGGAAAATGGTTTTTTTTTCATACTGTTATATTACTGGTTATAAATTCTGAGGTTTGTTTAATGTTTGTCTTTGATTTTAAGTCGCATATTTTACACTTCCAATTCTTTTTAGAGTCCGTATCCCTTAATCGATATAACTTTTCAGAAAGTCCTATGCAGTCAAAATCATATATATTTTTACATATCGAACACGACACTGTAGCCCTTCGATCAAATATATAATATACATAATACATAAACACTCACGCCTGTCACCCAGAGGGGTAGGCAGAGACTACGGACTTCCATTTGGCACGATCCTGACATACCTCTTTCGCCTCCTTTACATCCATATATCTACGCATACATGCTCGATCAAATAGTTTCTTGCATTTTAGACATTTAACAAGTTTCTGTACTTTGCTGTGACTGTCATTATTTTTTTTTTTGGTTTTTGAAGTGATAGCTTTCTCTGACATTATAAATAATTTAAAAAAGATTACAAAAAATACACAAAACCGATATGACTCGAACCACCAAACTCCTATTTATATTGTGAAGGTTATGCCACTGCCCTATGAACACTTAGTTCAAGCTGACGAAATTATCAGTTGCTATACGCTTTCATGTATTAGATTGTTGTGGTTGTTAATAGATGTCAGGAATATTTGTTGTTTCTTGGATGTTTTTTCACGTACACTGTGTATAGAATATTTTTATCAAATTTCCACTGAAATTCGTTAAATTTTTCGGAAATAACACTTGCACACGATATTTAGCAAACACTTTACACATTACTTATTACTTATACTAGATTATACTAGATTACTTATACTAGATACTTATAAAAATCACGTTTACTAACTTATTTAATCAAAAAATACAGGAGCTAATGTTTTCTGCGTGACAGCGCCACCTGTACTGACATAAGCGAACCGTCTTTAATATTTTCTGGTATTGCGGCTTCTGTTCATTTCAAAATTTTTATGCTCCCTTTCATCTTCATCTGTGATACAAGTTGAACTCTCTTGATAGCCAGATCCATTACAATAAGATTCACCACTTTCGGTTTTTTTATGCTCCCTTTCATCTTCATCTGTGATACAAGTTGAACTCTTTTGATAGCCAGATCCATTACAATAAGATTCACCACTTTTGGTTTTTTTATGCTCTCTTTCATCTTCATCTGTGATACAAGTTACACTCTCTTGATAGCCAGATCCATTACAATAAGATTCACCACTTTCGGTTTTGTACGTTCTTTCGTTCAAGTTTTATTTCGACTGTATGTGCCCCGTGTACTAAGGGTAACGATCTTCCACTATGCAGAGAACAGTTAGTAAATTCTTACATTTAAAGACTGGTTTACATGATTACGACCAATCATGTCGTATAATGTCCGAATGAATTTTTTTCTGTGCTATAAACACCCTTGTGATGTCACAGGAATTTCTCTAGATAACTATGCGATACCGTATAGTAAAGCAAATGTAAACGTGATGTAAAATAATAGAAGAATGTCTGCTCGTCACGTCTTTTACCTTCGAAGTGCAAAAACAAACTTGTTTATTTTTATGCGTAAACTGTTAATATGTTCTTTCCATGAAAAATGTGTATTGAGAGTAATGCCTAAGAATTTCGCACTGTTTACCTGTTTTATAAGTGAATTATTGTAACTAATATCTGATTCAATGTTTTAACTCATATAAATTTTGAAGTTAATCAGTTTCGATTTCTCTATGTTCATTTTAAATTTGTTTATGTCTAGCCATTGAATAACATCTTCTAACGCTTTATATATTTTCGTCTCATATATATATGTTTATATTTTTACGGTCCAAAATGATAGTTGTGTCGTCTACGAACAAAACACAATCACATGTGAGTACGCGTGGAGTTCATTGACGTAAATAAGAAACAACAGGGCCTTTAATACGCTACCCTGTGGCACCCCTGAACAATTAGTCCTTTGTTTTGGAGTCAAACTTCACTACATTATTTATTCCAGTATCAAATTTTGAAATCCTAGCGAATTTTCTGCTGGTTTTCAAATAGCACTGAAAACAGAACAAAAATGATCCCCCTATTTCACATTTTTCGATTATCGAATGATCAATAAAATTGAATGCTTTGCTGACCTTTCGGTCGAAGTTGGACTTACCTAGTCGGACTATTTGTGCCAGGTAAACGTACTCCTTAACAACTTCGAGCTTAGTGCTCCCAACAACTACTGGCATAGGTGTGACATGGATATTAAACATGGCCTTTGTTTTATCCATGTTCATCTTAAGACCTATCCGTTGGGAGACACTATTGAGGTCATTGGGCATAGTGCTTAGGTCAGCCAGCAAGTCTGCCATAAGGACTATGTCATCGGAAAATCGAAGGTGAGTGATGTACGCGATATTTCCTTAAACAAAATTGTTCTGGTGCCAAAATTAACTTGACCTGGCATGTGTATGGAGAAAACTCCACACCCCATATATTTGCAGTGTGATAGTGATATATTTGCAGAAGTGCATAGATGCCTTTTCTTATTATTATTACGGGGTTATTCATAGAGTATTCTCATATGGTTGGGCTGAATAAATATATAAAAGGAAATGATAAATATAAACAAATATATATTTAACATACTAACATAAATAAATTTATAATACCTAAATCAATCAAAGCCCATTCGGATGGAATTTCTCAACAGGGGAGACCAAACGGCCGAGGGTTAGCGGAAAGGGAAAGAAACCGGCGGACGATGCGGACGGTATCGAGGAGCACCGCCTTCTGCATTTGAGCCCGGAGCGGTCCGTCACGAAGTCCCAGTCGTCTCAGATGACCCGAGAGGCTGACTGGGATTATCCCGTTTGCAGAAACGACTACAGGAAAAATTTCGGTCGGCAGACCACCCCACCCCACATGTCGGTTACCTCGTGAGCCAGGTCCAGATATTTTGTTTGCTTATCTGCTTAGGCTTTCACGAGGTTCTCGTCATACGGAATGTCGACCAAAAATATCCTTGTTGATCAGCACAATATCAGGTTTATTCGCAAGAATAGTCCTGTCTGTGATGATGGCCCGGTCCCAGTAGAACCTGTCGCGATCATTTTCGAGCACGGTTTCCGGCTAGTACTTGTAATACGGCAATTTCCGGTCCATGAGATACTATTTCGGAGCGAGCTCTTGGTGAAGAATTCTGGTTCATAGGTTGTGCCTGTGCAAGTACTCAGAGTTAGAAAGCGCCGAACAACCGGAGATGACATGCCTAAGTGACTCACCGGGATGGCGACAAGCTCGACAGACGTCGACGGTGCCATGCTTTAGGATGTATCTCCGATAGTTGTTGGTCTTAATAACCTGATCCTGTATTGCACAGACAAAACCCTCAGTTTCTCCGAAGACGTCACCAACGCGTAACCAGTGGAGGAAGGCTACGGTGTCTACGAAATGCTCATGAAGAGCTTTGTAAAACCTCCCGTGGAGCTCCTTCTCTTTCCATACGGTCTCCCGGTCAGCAGTGCTATGTACTGCCTGGTTCTGCCATTACTTATGGCTTATGATAGAGGGATAAGTCCTTTATCATATCACGCGATTACGCATGGTGAACGTGCTTAAAAAGCCGCGCTCACCATGCTTTCTTCAGTCAGTAGTGATATAGCCAGTCCCGGACTTTTCCAGTTCGGAGCTCTACGAACCGCCTCGGCTACGTCATCCGGCGTTATGATGACGTCCATGGGCGTAATACTTGCACACTGACTCGCCACAACTTCCGTCCAAGGGCCTTCGCTGTGGTTTACGGCCTCTGACTACAGGCCGCGCCAGAATGCGACAGTGTCGTCCGCCTGATTCAGTACTGTGCCCGTTCTTAACATTGGTTACTGCAATGATTTATAGAGACTCTTCTGTCACTCTGGAAAAGACGATTCTGATTCAAACGTGTCGACCTCTCGGCATATCGCCAAATCCGAATCTTTTTCCGAGCAGCGATTCTCTGCTTCAGGTGGTCTATGTGCTCTGTCAGTTTTTGCGTTATATCCGGCTGGGACAAACTGACTTTTGTCCCAGCAAACGCTATCCTGACGGTGCGCACGATCCTTGACCTGTTATTTCCTGGACTGAAGTATATTTTATACGCGAACGCAACGCGAACGGACGTGTTTTATTGGACGGGCGAAATAAGTTGGAAATACAAATCAGGGAAGTCACCCTGAATGAGTATAAACCTAGAGGGATAGTTGGGAAACACCGATTCTAAGCTACGGGATAATGGATAAAACAGCAACATCCACGGATTACGTCAACACCGAGCGCGGTAGCCGAAACCCAAATGTCTCATACAAGGTTGTTAAAGAAGACAGGATTATGGAAGCGATTGGGGAGCTTCGCTTAGAAATGAAAGCTCTCATGGAAAATCAGCTTAAGGAATATGAGATACTAAGAAATAGATTTATAAATACTGAGACAGAATTAAAAGAATTAAGAAAAGAAATGAAGGTACTTCAAGAAAAAAGTAGATAAAGTACAAATATTGGAAGCGAAAGTAGATAGTATAGTAAGAAATGATGAAAAATTAGTGAGCAATATGATTAGGGTAAGTCCAACAACTGATAAAAATGAGGAAGCTTATTTACAAAAAGGAACTCCTCAATCATTTGCAGCGGCAGCGAACCGAAACCAAAACCGGGTACTTAAAAATAAGTTCCCAACGAAGCAAGCGAGTGTGGCCACGAAACCATCAGACAAATCGACTTCCGTAATTAGCTCAATTGTGAAGGAGATACCCGAACCAAAGCAAGTAAGAAATAATTCTGAGCAAATAACCGAAACTGAGGATATAGAATCTCAAAAGGAAGGAAACTGGATAATAGTAAATAAAAAGAAGAAAAGCAGATACCCTAATACTGAGGTAAAAAAAGGCGGAAGCACGAGTGCAGTAGAAATCAAGGGGACTGAACGGAAGAAATTTTTACATGTGTGGCGTCTCCATAAAGAAACCACGGTTGAAAACTTAGAAAAATACGTGAAGAATATATGCGGAGAGGAAGTACCAGTCACAGTGGAAAGAATCAGGCATAAGACGGAAAGGGATTATTCTTCCTTTATTATTGGTGTACCTGAAAGCAGTTATGACATTTTATATCAATCGGACAATTGGGCTGTAAACATCGAATTCAGTGAATGGGTATGGTTTCGTAGAACAACCAAAAAAACACTCAATAAATAGCACAGCTATTGAAATTTACTACCAAAACGTGAGAGGTTTACGTACGAAATTAGAGGACTTTTATGTAGGCGTCTCATCTTCAGGAGCAGATCTATTTGCCATTACTGAGACAGGTTGTAACAAATCCATTCACGACGCAGAACTTGTTCCGCCGGGATACACAATAATTCGCTGCGACCGCGCGGATGGAAGAAAGCAAGGAGGCGCGTGTCTCGTGGCCACACCGCGTTTAGAGCTGCGGCGAGTGGCGAGTCCGAGTGACGTCAACATCGATGACGAAGTGTTTGAACTGATCAGTGCGACCGTCTACCTGCATAACAGACTTTTATTTCTATTGTGCGTTGTTTACATTCCGCCGAACAGTTGTGAGAATGATTATATGATACTGTTTAGAATAATAGAACAACTGTGTAGTAAATATAGTGATATCGTTGTGATTGGTGACTTCAATATGCATTCCTGTTCTATAAACGTATGTAATTATTTTCAATATTTTTTATCTTACTGTAGATTTACTCAGTGTAGCACGATTGTTAATTGTAATGATCGGTGTTTAGATTTAGTGTTAAGTACGCTTACAAAGGGAGAGAGTGTGAATGTGCGCGAGGCAGGGGCGCCTCTCGTACCTGTGGATGCATACCACCCGCCACTGGATGTGTTGGTGAAACTGTGGCCGCGCCGAGTCGCAGGTTCATTCCAGTGCGAATCGAGTACTGTTTCCCCAGGTTGGAATTTCAATAAAGCTGATTTCGCTTCAATGTACGCGTCAATAGGAACTATAGACTGGACTGATATTTATAACCTTGATTTAGAAATGAGTTTAGATTACTTTTATGAAACAGTCAATTCCAAAATAGATGACTGTGTTCCCAGAAAACAGCGATGTCGGGTAAGCTCGAAGTATGTTTACCCCGAGTTTTACACTATTGAAATAATTCGTAACATACGACGTAAGGCTATTCTCCACAAGCTGTATAAGGCAAGTAGGACCAAGAATGATTACGAAGCGTTCGCCCTGTGTAGGAGTAAAGTAAAACGATTAATAAAACTAGC